GGGGCCCCGGGACATTTGTCCCAGGAGGGCCCCGGGACGCCCCGGGACGCCCCAGGACAACCTGTCCCGGAGGGTCCCGGGACAACCTGTCCCGGGGGGGGCCCCGGGACAACCTGTCCCGGGTGACCGGGACAGCCTCCCAGGGCCTCCCAGGGGCCTCCCAGGGGCCTCCCAGGGGCCTCCCAGGGGCCTCCCAGGGGCCTCCCAGGCTCGAAGATGGAAAAAACAGGGGCTCAAGCCGAAAAACGCGATTTTTGAGCAGTGGCCCAGGCTGAGCCCGAAAAAGGGCCTCTGGTCCAGCAACGAAGGCCGCAGTCGGCACCGCCCCCAGAGCCTAAATCCTAAACCCTAAATCCTAAATCCTAAAGCCTAAATCCTAAATCCTAAATCCTAAATCCTAAATCCTAAATCCTAAATCCTAAATCCTAAATCCTAAATCCTAAACCCTAAACCCTAAATCCATCCTAAATCCTAAATCCTAAATCCTAAATCCTAAATCCTAAATCCTAAATCCTAAATCCTAAATCCTAAATCCTAAATCCTAAAGCCTCAAAAAATCATAATCAGAACACGACCCCATTAAGGTTTAAATATACATAGGTAGAGAGGGTTTAGGGTTTAGGGTTTAGGGTTTAGGGTGTAGGCTGTAGGCTGTAGGCTGTAGGCTGTAGGCTGTAGGGTTTAGGGTTTAGGGTTTAGGGTTTAGGGTTTCGCCCTCTGACCTGTTCGAATTGCGACACCGAAGCTGTGGCTTGGGGCCAGCGGCACAGAGAACAACAGAACTCGTGTGGCTTTCTCTTGGCTGCACTCAGGAGGGTATCTATAAATTAAATTTTTAGCTGCCTTGTTAAGAAACCCAACAAGCCCAAAAAGGCTAAATATCTAAAGTTACAGTAAAGCACCACAAAGTTCTGATTGTGATTCCAGGAACCCGCACGTCTCAACCCTAAACCTCACCAGAAGCAGAAACCCTCTTGTCAAACCAAGTCTCGGATGCTTTTTCACCTGACAACTCGGGCTTAACAGGGCTGTTTTAGAAGGGCTCGTAGGATTTAGGCATTTAGGGATTTAGGGCTTGGGGTTTGGGCTCAGGTCGCGTGGGGAGCTCGCCGCTACTGTTTCTAAAATTTAGTGGTGCGCACACCAGCGCCTCCACCCCAGCCACTCTAGGCTTTACAAATGAAGTGATCAACCCCATTTGGAGAATGGAGCACGTAGGGTTTAGGGTGTTGGGTGTAGGGTTTAGGGTTTACAGTAAACTCCAGAAACTTGGAACAATTTTTCAAGCCGGGATTACCTTTAGCATCCCTCCCTAAAACCTGAACCCTAAACCTGCACCCTTTTGGGGTATGGGGGATAAGGATGTTCCTAGTCTGTGGAGTGTACTGTAGGGGAAACTCAGGGCCCAGGCCGCCCCTACAGAGGGGGGCTTCGACCTCTATGGCGAAAGTCGACCGGTCGCTTGCCCGCCTCCTGCAGCTCGGAGGTCAGTAGCACCCAGAGGGCCCAGTACCTGGGCGCCCCTGTCCTAGGTTTTTCTGCGCACCCGTCTGGGCCCCTTGGGCGCCCTGGGCCCCCCCCTCTTAGTGGGCCAGGGCCCCTGCACCTCCTGACTGACCGCCCCCGCTGGCCCTTGGCCCTGGCTTTTGTGAGCATGCATTTTGAATGACCAGAATGAAGAAACAAATTATGGAAAGTAAGCAGTTGGCTTGAGTTTAGGCCCAAACCCCAAAAGGAATAGGTTCGGGTGGTTTTGCCGCCTCGGACGGCGTGGGTGGGAGAAAAGTGTTGGATGGCCTTCCACAATCGGGCCAAAGCTGCTCTTCGCGCCTCACGAAGCTTTTAGCTTGTCCCAAAACCTAACCTTCACAGCCTCTACGCCTCATCACAGCAAACCCTAAACCCCTAAACCCCAAACCCCGAGCCCCCCCCCACCTTCCTCAAGAACCGGTTCAAGTCCTTCACGTGGGCATCGTGGGATAGACGATCTGGTTGGAGAACTATTCCTTCAGGGACGGGGCCATCCTCTGCCGAAGTCGGGACATCCATCTCAGCCGGTTTAGGGCCTAAGCCTTACTTAGGGTGGTTTAAGGTTTAGGGTTTGAGGGTTTAGGGTTTAGGGTTTGGGTTTAGGGTTCAAGGTGCAGAGTCCGCCGACCCTGGCGGCGTGTTGGATGGGAAAAGGAGCTCCCCCCCAAAACGGGGGGGGTAGGGGGGGCAGCTTTTCCATGGAGGGCCAGGCCACACCGGTTTCGCACAGGACATAGGGGTTTTTTGGGAAAAAACCCACGGTTGCTGGGCTAAGTGATGGCACCCCCCCCCCCTACCCCCCCCCCCCCCCCCCCCCCCTCCCCCCCCCCCCCCCCCCCTCCCCGGCCCCCCCCCCCCCCCCCCGCCCGGCGGTTTCCGGGGGCTCGGGCCGCTTTTTGGCATCCTTTGAGCTGACGAGCGCGTTTAAACCTTTCAACTATGCTCCAGCGGGGTCGGCGGCTTGAGCCGGAGGCTCTTAAATTTAGGGTTGAAAGCTAGCTTGGGGTTTCAGGATTTTCGCTTCACGCCGCACGTCCTTCCGGGACCACCTTTGGCAACTTCCACATATGAAACGAAGACCTCCGCTTCGGTGGTGTACTCTTGCTGCAACCTGGGTAATCCAAAAGACGAACCCCGAAATTGAGGGACCCATGTTTTCAATTGCAGCATGTATTGAGTGTAGCGCTCTATAATACTACGACTGCTACCACTACGACAATGATTACGACTACTATTACTGCGATGACTGGTGTTAGTACACATTAACAAGGTAAGGCAGTGGAGATTAGCATGATTAGCATGATTCGAAAAAACAAATAGCTGAAGGGGTTGCCTATACTACTCTTCCTATTCCTATCTCTATCCCTCTCATTATCACTACAATGTTAGAATTATGCAGGCGCTATAAGGACATGATACTGATAAGTACCTAGGCTCCTGTGTTAGTCTTGGAGTACGTCAGCTGGTTTGAGTTTAAGGCTTGGAGGCTTTTGGGGCCTGAGGATGTCACAAAGGCCCGCATCACTGCGAATGATGCTGAGCAACTTCCACCGCAACCCATACTGCGTGTGCGCAGAGGTCTATCTGGGCATAGAAATGGGCTCTACAGCCCAGCGTCTGAGCCAAACGTCTGAGGAAGCTTGCTTCTCAAAAAATCGTGGCTGCACGCGGTTTGCAACAGCACTTTAGGGTTTTAGGGTTTAGGGTTTCGGGTTCAGGGTTCTCAAAAAGGTGCGCGCTCAAGACATCACACCATGCCTTTCAGCTCACGAAGTCTCAGCTAAGGCTCGGTTCCCGAAACACCCGGGTTCTTCTTGCTAAAAGACACCATGTTTCAAGAACAGGGTTCTAGAGAGCAAACCACATAGCGCCCTGATGCTGGCGACTGAAATTAGGTTCCTTAACTACAGCAAACACCCTAAACCACTAATCCTGATACATAACACCGCAGACACGAAAAAAACACAGAGCATGTTCCAAAAAACCTCCCAAAGCCGAAATCCTTCATTAAACCGTATTTGAGCACGGCTGTATGACTTAGAAGGGGTGGTGGTGGAACTGGGCCTGAAGGGCTTTAGAAAAAACCTCAATCTCTTACATAAACCCCCGGAGGGCCCCAGGACAGAAGGTCCGGGACCCTAAACCCTAAACCCTAAACCCTAAACCCTATAAACCCTAAACACTAAACCCTAAACCCTAAACCCTGAACCCTAAACCCTAAACCCTAAACCCTAAACCCTAAACCCTAAACCCCTGAACCCTAAACCCTAAACCCGGGGGAGCCGGTGCTTGTCCGCGTTTTGTTGGTGCTCGTCCGCGAATTGTTGGTGCTCGTCCGCGAAATGTTGGGGCTTGTCCGCGTTTTGTTGGTGCTTGTCCGCGACTTGTTGGTGCTTGTCCGCGACTTGTTGGTGCTTGTCCACTTTGTTGAAGCTGGTCGCGAATTGTTGGTGCTTGTCCGCGAATTGTTGGTGCTTGTCCGCGGATTGTTGGTGCTTGTCCGTGTTTTGTTGGTGCTTGTCTGCGAATTGTTGGTGCTTGTCCGCGGCTTGTCCGCGAATTGTTGGCGCTGGTCCGCAAAATTTTGATGCGAAACCGCGAATCCATTAGCCATTAAATATACAGAGGGTTTAGGGTTTCGGGTTTAGGGTTTAGGATTTAAGATTTAGGGTTTAGGGTTTAGGGCTTAGGGTTCTTCATTTCTTCACACTCTTAGGACTACCGTGTATCTCGAAGCCCATTAGACCGCCATGGGCTCAAACGGTTTCGAGTTGAAGGTGTGTGTGTGTGTGTATTATACCCTCAACCACTATTTGCTTAAGAACCCCAAAAGAGGTAAAACAAAAACCAATCCCTATATTACCCTTAATAAGGAAGAACTTTTTTGCTTTTTTGGGGTTCTTAAGCAATTAGTAGTCAGCCGTCTTCGGCCCTCTTTTATGAACCCTACAGGGCCTGCCAAGGCTTTAGGGTGGAATCCCGAAGAGCCGAAGACAGCTCCTCATGTGCCAAGCAGCCCCAAAAAAGGTTGCTAAGCGACCCCAAACAGAAGCTCGCCAAGCGACCCCACAAAAAGCACCTTGCTAATTCCGAAGACGTACGTTGCATGTGGGGGCTTCGGGCTGGAGTCTTGAGGGGGCACCAGGCCGACTCAGCCAACAGCGTGGGTGATTTTCTCTTCAGCCCTTTGGGGTGGAAAATCTGATCCTGCAAGCAGGTCGGGGGTCCCCTCACCTGGGAAGAAGCCGCCGGAGCTGATCCAATTTTGGATAGCTGCCGACGGGCTTCACAAAACCAAACTCGCGACGGCATGGCTACTCCGTGGCCTTCTTTTTTTTTGCGTGGTCCACGTCACAGCACTTACAACCGAAAGCCGACGGAGGTTCCTAAAGCATGGGCTGCCAGAAAGTCCAATCCGCCGTCATCGCGGTCATGGGGTGTCATGGCACATGGCTGGCTGGGGATCCAGCCTAGACCCTCTCCGCAACCCAGGCCACTGCATCCTTTGTGCAAGCTTGCGTGGCGGCCACCTGGAGCGGGTTTAGAGCTTAGGGTTCGCCAGCTTTCTGTCCCTGGCGTCCCTTCTTTAAACCCTATAAACCCGAAACCCTAAACCCTAAACTTGTGGGACTTAGGGTTGATTGTCAAGGCTTGTCCCTGAAGGTTCAAGGCACAGAAGTCGCGAGTCGCGAACCAACCAAATCTCAGGGACACACGATCCGAACTACTACTTGGTATCATTGAGGCCTCATGCTGTTACTGTGGCTCTGTCTTGTCCTTGTATGCCTTGCTATCAAGTATGACCTTAATACCCACTGGTTCTTAGTAGGGAATGAGGGAATAAGGGCCCTATAGATACATATACATATGCACACACACTTCAAGGGATTCCTACTAAGAACCAGCCAGAATACCCCTGTGTGCTTTCCGGTCGTCTACGTTGCCACCTGCTCGGGAAGCCACGTGAGGCCCGTAAACTCGGCCCCCCCCGGCGTACAGCAAATCAGCTCGCAGTGGTAAACCTCAGACACTGGGAGGGGGATCGTAAGAGGTTTCTGGGGTTTAGGGCTGAGGGTTTAGGGTTTCGGGTTTCGGGTTGAGGCTTTAGGGTTTAGGGTTTAGGGTTTAAGGTTTAAGGTTTAGCTGCCCCCCCGCCACAGTTCCCGACGCCCAGCCGCCCCATCGTAGAGCTTCAGAGTCTTGTCCGTGGCTACCTTGGTAGCCCAGTAACCATATTCTGAGAGGGGCACCCTTTTTTGGCTTGGTTACTTGTACCCTAAACCCTAAACCCTAAACCTTAAACCCTAAACCCTAAACCCTAACCGGGAACCTTGAACCAAAAAAAGCGAAAAGGGTACCACTGGGCTACCAAGCCACAGCCTCGTCGTACAGCCGCTGCCTGGAGGCTTTTGGCTCAGGGTTTAGGGTTTAGGGTTTGGGGTTGAAGGTTGAGGGTTGAGGGTTGAGGGTTTAGGGTTTCGGGTTTAGGGTTTGGGGTTTAGGGTTTGGGGTTTAGGGTTTAGGGTTTAGGGTTTAGGGAGCTTATACGGATTATAAACCACAGTAAGTTGGGATGTTCACCCTTATACTAAGAATCCCCTAAGAGGGACTATAATAGGGGTACTAGAATCCCTATTCAGGACTGTTAGTATAAGGGGGAACATCCCAAAGTATAATCCACAACAAGTTCAAAAGTTCCTACAAGTTATCTCGATGTCACATCGCGAGTCACATGCATGTCTTCCTTCAACTCTCATCAGCCCGCCAGCAAAGCTCCAAATGTAACCCCTTGCAACAAACCGAGCAGTACCCTCGCAAACTACCCGAAACCCTAAACCCTAAACCCTAAACCCCAAACCCCTAGCTTGTTGCCAGCAATGTTGCGAAGTGGCCGGCTCCGTGATCTTATCCGCTTTGCCGTGCTGGACGATGAAAGGCGTCCTCACCTCCCGCTCGCACTCGGAGTCTCCAAACCCTAAAGGGTTTGGGGTTTGGGGTTTAGGGTGTAGGGTTTAGGGTTTAGGGTTTAGGGTTTAGGGTTTAGGGTTTAGGGTTGGGCTAAGGAGCTAAAAATAAAAAAAAACAACTGTCAACCTCCAGTCACCCTTCCTGAAGGTTCATCGCTACTTTCAAGCAGGGTTACAAGTAGGGTTTAGGGTTTAGGGTTTAGGGTTTAGGGTTTAGGGTTTAGGGTTTAGGGTTTAGGGTTTAGGGTTTAGGGTTTAGGGTTTAGGGTTTAGGGTTTAGGGTTTAGGGTTTAGGGTTTAGGGTTTAGGGGTTAGGGTTTCGGGGTTAGGGTTTAGGGTTTAGGGTTTAGGGTTTAGGGTTTAGGGTTTAGGGTTTAGGGTTTAGGGTTTAGGGTTTAGGGTTTAGGGTTTAGGGTTTAGGGTTTAGGGTTACAACCGTATTTAGCAAGCCAAAAAAGTCCTGCTTGTATGCACCCAAAAGAACCGTCAAGTACAATCCTCCAAACCCTCAACCCTCCACCCCCAACCCTCAACCCTAAACCCCAAACCCTAAACCTGAACCCTACACCCTAAACCCTAACCCTAAACCCTAAACCCTAAACCCTAAACCCTAAACCCTAAACCCTAAACCACCTTCTGTCGCCTCCTTGAGCTTCTCGTCCAGCCAGTCGGGGAACGTGAAGCCAAGCTCCCGACCCGAAGCCAAGAAAGGCGAGGTTCGCTTCATCGAGAAAGGGTTCGCCTCCTCGTACCTCTTTACCCGATAGGGTTTGGGGGTTTGGGGATTTGGGGGTTTGGGGGTTTGGGAGTTTAGGGTTTAGGGTTTCGGGTTTAGGGTTCAGCATCTCAAGTTCGAGCATTTACTAGGGCAGCAGTGTGTAGGCAACGGAAAAGACCACCCGCCCAAAGAAACCCATAACATTACGACAATAGACAGTTTGTTTTTGGCTCGTGTTGAACAATGGGGGGGGGGGGGGGGGCCAAAATGGATCAAATTCCCAAATTCGCGCTGTACAATGAGGGCTGAACAATGGGGGGGTCAAAGGGGTCAGAAGGGCCGAAATGGAATCAAATTCCCTAATTCGTACTGAACAATGGGGGGGGTCAGGGGTCAGAGGGGCCAAAATGGATCAAACTCGCTAATTCGTGCTGTCAGAGACCAAAATGAATCGAATTCCCTAATTCGTGCTGAATAATGGGGCATCAAAGGGGTCAGAGGGACCAAAATGGATCAAATTCCCGAATTCGTGCTGAACAATGGGGCGTCAAAGGGGGTCAAAGGGGCCGGAAGGCCAGCATTGAGGGGGTCAGAGAAATTTTGAAAATGAGGGCGTCATTTCTGCTCTACAAATTCCATTTAAAACTCATTGTGAATCGAGCACTTTTTTCCGGAATCCTGGAGTGAGGGGGGTCAAAGGGGTCAGACGGGCCGAAATGGATCAAATTCCCAAATTCGTGCTGAACAATGGGGGGGTTAAAAAAAGTGGAAAGAAAAGAAATTTATCAAATTCGCTAATTCGTGTTTAACATTTAGGGTTATATGGCATTAGGGTTTAGGGTTTAGGGTTTAGGGTTGAGGGTTTAGGGTTTAGGGTTTAGGGGGGTTGAGGGTTTAGGGTTTAGGGTTTGGGGTTTAGGGTTTAGGGTTTAGGGTTTAGGGTTTAGGGTAGTTTAGGGTTTAGGGTTTAGGGCAGTTTAGGGTTTAGGGTAGTTCAGGGTTCAGGGTAGTTTAGGGTTTAGGGTTTAGGGTTTGGGGTTTAGGGTTTAGGGTTTAGGGCTTAAGGCTTAAGGCTTAGGGCTTAGGGCTTGGGGCTTAGGGTTTAGGATGGATATATTGATCAAAGTACAGCATCTTAGGCCACAATGAGACAATCATGATAAGATTGTTTAATCGTGTCATTCCTGCTGTTGTTGTGTGATTGGTTGTTGGACTTTCCAGCCCTAAACCCTAACCCCTAAACCCTAAACCCTCAACCCTCAACCCTAAACCCTAAACCCTAAACCCCAAACCCTAAACCCTAAACCCTAAACCCTAATGCCCAGGTGTGCAGCAGGAAGGTGCCGGGCTTGTGAAACCCTGGAATCCGAACCCCAAAATTCAAAATCCCCACCCTCCTACTTCCAAACCTTGATTCAACTCTTCTTTCCCCTAAACCCTCAAGCCCCTAAAACCCCTAAAAAACCTAAAATTCCTCAAATCCCTAAAAATCCTGAAAGCCCTAAAAGCCCTAAAAGCCCTAAAAACCCTAAAAACCCTAAAAACCCTAAAAACCCTAAAAGCCCTATCCCCCCCCACCCCAAGACCAAAAAACAAACAGAACGACAGATATGACAAGGTACACGGGTCCATGAGTGGGGACGCGGAAGTCAAAGTCAGCCAGGCCTTTCCGGATGTTTTGGGTTTAGGGTCTAGGAGTTTGGGGTTTAGGGTTTAGCATTTCGGTTAGTGTCTAGGAGTTTAGTGGGTTTAGGGTCTAGGAGTTTGCGGTTTAGGGCTGAATGTCTGGGAGTTTAGGGTTTAGCCTTTCGGGTGGAGTCTAGGGTTTAGGGTTTCGGAGTTTAGGGTTTTAGGATTTACGGTTTAGGAGTTTAGTGCTTTGCAGGGTGGGTGTAAGGGTTCAGGGGTCTTAGGAGTCTTCCAGTTCATGGTCACTGCCTTGCCGACGTCACTCAAGAAAGCTGCGTACCTATAAGGGTTAGAAGTGCGCCCTAACCCTAAACCCTAAACCCTAAACTCTAAACCCTAAACCCTAAACCCTAAACCCTAAACCCTGAACCCTGTTATCGCCACAGCTACCGCTGCGTATAACTCTACTTCTAAGTGACCAAAATTTCCCGCCAAGAACTGAGCGCCGTGCTCTTGACTGGAGTGAGTGGCCATGTTGGCAGCCTGGGTAGGTCCAAGCTTCAAGAGTTTAGGGTTTAGGGTTCAGGGTTAGGGTTTAGGGTTTAGGGTTTAGGGTTTAGGGTTTAGGGTTTAGGGTTTAGGGTTTAGGGTTTAGGGTTTAGGGTTTAGGGTTTAGGGTTTAGGGTTTAGGGTTTAGGGTTTAGGGTTTAGGGTTTAGGCCCAACGAGACTTGTGCGGCGCACTGCGATCATGGAACAGCCTCGCGATGAAATGCTTGAAGATCATCTGCCTTACTTCTCCAATAACCAAGGGAAAAAAGGTTAAACATTTTTTAATCCTACGAAATAAACCCTAAACCCTAAATCCTAAACCCTGAACCCTAAACCCTAAACCCTACACCCTAAACCCAAAAAGTTAAAAGTTCAGCTGCTGGAGAAGTAAGCTGCACGATCCAAGGAGGCTTCACCTCGTCGCTGACCGTCAGCATGGGTCCTTGCAAGATTGCCTCGGAGGTCCACACTAGGGTTTAGGGTTTAGGGTTTAGGGTTTAGGGTTTAGGGTTTAGGGTTTAGGGTTTAGGGTTTAGGGTTTAGGGTTTAGGGTTTAGGGTTTAGGGTTTAGGTCTTAGGTCTTAGGGTTTAGGGTTTAGGGTTTAGGGTTTAGGGTTTAGGGTTTAGGGTTTAGGGTTTAGGGTTTAGGGTTTACGCACGTTAGTGCTTGGCGTGACCCAGGTGCTCCGCGAAAATACGTGGGCCTCTGCAAGGCCAAGCAGATCGCCAGACCGCCTCCCAAGGAATTTCCTGCCACGAGTCTCAGATTGGGTTTAGGGTTTAAGGTTTAAGGTTTAGGGCTTAGGGCTTAGGGCTTAGGGCTTGGGGCTTGGGGCTTAGGGCTTAGGGCTTAGGGTTTACGGGTTTAGGTTTAGGGCTTTATACGCGCACCGGGGTCCTGAGACGAAAATTGGCAGCGACTTGCCATCAAGCACGCACTCCTCTGACCTGATGTCATCGGGAACATGCACCGTAAGCTACAAAGGCACCCTAAGCCCGAAACCCCAAACCCTAGGTTGGTCGAAATCATGTGCCCGTTTCAGCCATGTAAACAACACGAATGTACGAGTCAAACCCTAAACCCTCAACCCTAAACCCTAAAGCCCTAAACCCTAAACCCTACACCCTAAACCCACCTCTCGGTTCGACCCAGTCACACCACCAACTCTACGTGCTCCCAGATCTGGTCGATGAAGGCCCACCAGTCGGGCACGTAGGCCAGCAGACCGTCCTTGGAAGGCACAAACGGAGTTTAGGGTTTAGGGTTTAGGGTTTAGGGTTTAGGGTTTAGGGTTTAGGGTTTAGGGGTTTAGGGTTTTTGGGTGCTTGTGGTGTTTGCTTCTGGGAGGGGGGCAAGGGGGGGGCGGGGGGGGGGTCCTTGGCTTCCTTTGCAAGACGAAAAATGAGGGTTTGAGGTTAGGGTTTAGGGTTTAGGGCTTAGGGTTTAGGGTTTAGGGTTTAGGGTTTAGGGTTTAGGGTTGTTGGACCTTGGTTTTCGACAGGGGGGGGGGGGGGGGGCGTCCAAGCTCGGAGGCCGGCAAGCCCATGCTAGTCATGGACTCTCGCACCCTAAACCCTAAACCCTAAACCCTAAACCCTAAACCCCAAACCCCAAACCCCAAACCCCAAACCCCAAACCCCAAACCCCAAACCTCAAACCCCAAACCCTAAACCCTAAACCCTAAACCCTAAACCCTAAACCCTAAACCCTAAACCCTAAACCCTACCCAACTCCGCTGCAGAGCGGCCGAGCGCCCGTGACCAGGCAGGTCGGGCATCCTGGGCTGTAGGGCTTTAGGGCTTTAGGGCTTTAGGGCTTTAGGGTTTAGGGTTTAGGGTTTAGGGTTTAGGGTGTAGGGTTTAGGGTTTAGGGTTTAGGGGTTGAAAGCTTAGATCCTTTGGGGCTTTTGGGGTGTTCGGCTTTAGGGTTTAGGATTGGAGGTTTAGGGTTTTAGGGTTGTAGGATTAAACCTGAGCACTGAACCTCAGGGTTTCGGAGAGGTTCTCATTGTGCTGCCAAGTAGCAGCACAACCGCTCCATTTCGCGCGAACTCCGCCATATTCTGCCACACGAGTTCCATGCAGACTTCGGCAAAGACTGCACCCGAAACCCTGAAACCCGAAACCGCTACAGGCTCTCTCAAGAAAACCCGCATATGCCTCGATGTAGAGATCGGCGTTGGAACTGTAGCCATGTAGAAAGACCTGTTGCGCTGCTTTGACCAGGGCAGTCTGCTTCAACCCTAAACCCTAAACCCGAAACCCGAAACCCTAAACCCTGAACCCTAAACCCTTCAATCCATGCGCATGCATATGCTGAGCTCTGGGCCACGGCGTGCGTGGGTGTCTTGTTCTTCGGCTTCATGAGAACGCAGAAGCGCTGGGTTCCATCCTTGACACCTTCCCAAGCTTGAACTGCTGAATCTCAAGAGGCCGAGGTCATAACATGTCGTAGTCCTAAAGCCTACAGCTTCAGAGCTTCTTCCCTAAGATGCAGCCAAGGCACGATGCATCTTGCCCTCAAGCTCTACATCCGACGAAGCCGCCACAATTTTGGCTCCAGCACTGATCCAGTCACCCGGCCTCAAAAATCGTTGGAACTCGCAGGTGGGTAGTTCTCTAAATTAGGGTCCCTTTTGGGATCCCTTTTTACAGGGTGCCGCCTTATAATGGGTTCTCAAAAAGGGGCCCTAGATTAGGAAACTACCCATGTGGCGTAAGTAGGCTTTGCGGCTGTTAGGGTTGTCAGGGGCTGTTGGCCTCAGATGGTTTCTAGGGTTCAGGGTTTCCCCTCAACCCTAAACCCTATCAAACCCAAAATCCTGAACCCTGAACCCTGCAAACCCCCAAACCCCAAACCCCAAACCCTAATCCCTAAACCCTAAACCCTAAAACCCTAAACCTAAACCCCTAAGCCCCTCAACCCCTTAACCCCTAAACGGCTTGAAGGCCAGGGAACGGTCGGAGAGCCCTCCGCTGCTCGCCCGTGCGGATGTGCGCAATGCCTGAGTTTGGGGTTTGGGGTTTAGGGTTTAGGGTCTAGGGTTTAGGGTCTAGGGTTTAGGGTTTAGGCTTGAGGTTTTTTTTGTTTAACTGGCTTTAGGCTTTAGGCTTTAGGCTTTAGGGTTTAGGGTTTAGGGTTTAGGGTTTAGGGTTTAGGGTTTAGAGTTTAGGGCTTAGGGCTTAGGGCTTAGGGTTGCTTTTGGGGTTTTAGAGGGGTTTGGGGTTTCGGGTTCCTACACCCTAAACCCTAAACCATAAACCCTAAACCCCTTAAGGGGGGTTTGGGGTCTCGGGCTTCGGAGAACCCTTAAACAGCGCCACCCTCCACAAGGAACTGCAAACTCCGGCGTTTGGCATCCTGGTCCTGTCGAGCTTGTTACAGGGTCAGTAGTTCCTGTAACACGTGTTCGGGCACGGCACGCCGCAAGAGCCATTTCTGTAGAATGAAGCCACTTGCCACGCAGCCAGCAGCTGCAAGCAGCAGCATGTTTAGGAGATGCTGGGTCTCAACGCAGGGGTATTTGCTTGCAAGCGTAAGCCAAGAACTGCGCGCGCCATGCAGGCGTCGGGAACTTCAGCAGCTTCGCACAAGAGGCGTGCAAGGCAGATGGCATGCAGCAGTGAGAGGTTCTTGTTTTCCTGCATGAATTAGTCACATAGCTGGTTGGGTGGACCAACTAACTAACAAATTACGGTAAACAAAGCACAGCCAATCCAACCAACCAGCGAGCCAACCAACCCCGATGATCGCGGATGTACAGCTCCAGGTACAAACCAGGTGGGGGCTTCAGCTCTGCAAAAACCTTGCTGCCACCTGCATGTAACCCAGCAGCGACTCAAGGTGAGGTCGCAAGAGCAGAAAAAAAGGAAGGCATGCACGAATTATCTCGAAAAGAGATGGGCTATGGAAGGATCGCCTTTTCTTGCTTTCTGGCCTATTCCGTTCATGTGGCGCGAACATCCCACGCCGTACCGAGATTCATCGAGCCATGCGTTCATTCCCAGTGCACGCGCGGGGCATCGCACGCGGCCCATCATGGTTGAGCCCAAGTCCCGCTTGGAAAAGGCCCTTTTCGAGAAACTGAGCGAGACGTCGAAAAGGCAGAGATCAGCACAGCTGTGTTTATCTGCAACCTGTTACGTACATGGTTCCGCAGCCAGGAGACATCTCATCCTTCAACCTACTGCAATGGTGCATGAATTTTGTTGTTTTTGTGTAGGGGGGGGGGGGGGGGCTGTGCACCCCTCAGCCAACTTGCAAGCAGGCCTGTCGGCCAGAGTCACCTCAGGCAGTGCTCGGTCACCCATTCTTTGAAAGAGAAGTACTTGCTGTGCAAACATGGCATTGAACTGCGCAGCACTTGGGCCCCGTATCACCTGTCGTGACGTTTTGGGGGGATGTCATGAGATGCCACTTGCGACTTGTTGTCGTGTCGCTTGTGTCGCTTCTTCCCGTCACTTGCATCTAGGTCTTGGCCTACGACTTCTCATGGAGACGCATAGATACGTCCATGAGATACCTACGCCATAATACGTCACATGCACCATTGTAAACACTGTGCGGATAGGTTCATGTGTACATAGGTGTACATACGTGTACATACGTATACATGCATATACATACGTACATGCGTACATCCATGCATCCGTGCATCCGTACAATATGCGCAAGCAAGACGCGCACAATTACGCGCATACCTACGCACATACGTAATCACACGTACATAGGTACATGCATGCAGACAGACATACGAGAGACAGAGAGAGAAAGAGAGAGAGAGAGAGAGAGAAAGAGCGAGAGAGCCAGAGAGCGAGCGAGAGACAGAGAGGGGGCAGAGCGAGAGACGCTAGTAAACAAGAAGCCGATTTCGTCGCCCCGTCCTTGATAAATCCACAAGAACTGCTGGGTCGCACACGAGGAGGGGGAGAAACGCTCTTGACCCGCCAAACCTTGGAAGTCAGCCAAGGAGGCATTCTTGCCTCTGTCTCGTAGAGCCAAGGACTCTCAGTACCCTAAACCCTAACCCCTAAACCCTAAACCCTAGACCCTCTAAGCCTTACAGAGGGTAAAGCTGGCAAACGATGCAAGATGCCTGAGTAGCTGATTGCATTCCAGGAGCAACGGCGCGCGCGTGCACAGGCACGCCCCCAGAGAGCGTCGCTCGGATCGGAGGGCCTTGGCATAGCTCTGGCTCGGGGCGATTTGGCCCCTTTTTTTGTTGGCATCACACACACACACCTGTTTTCCAGAACCCTCATCAACCTCTACGAGTTGAAGGTTTGGGGTTGAAAGGTTAGGGCCCCTACATGAAGAAGCTTGGGGGCCGACCTGCGAGGAAGCTTGGGCACGCGCTTCCGGGGGCGCTCTGCCCACTTGGGTTCAGGGACCGGACTCGGTTGGGGGTAGGGATGAGAGCCACGTCGGGTCTGGCTGTGGGACCACTCTCGCGGCACACTGGCTTCGGCGAGGGCAGCGAGGGCAGCCAAGCCCAGGCAGGCACGACCACGCGCGGAGGCGCGTAGGATCGCACCACCGGCCGCTGGGAAGGGTTGGGCATGCCCCCAGCTGAGCTGATGCCAGAGATTGCGGCCACCGGGGTCGCAACGATGGCTTGTGGCAGGCTCTGGAGGCTGGCTTCTGTCCGGTTGGCGCAGAGTCGCGGAGGCGAGCGGGTACCGGAGCGCGGGCTGGGCGCCGCGGGCGCCGGCGCCGCGAGCGCCGTGGCGCGGAGGTTGGTGGCGCTGGAGGCTCGAGGCGCTTCCCTGCAGTCCGTGCGTTCAGGCGAGGGTTTTTGAAGAGGGTTTGATGCGGGGTTTAGGGTTTAGGGTTTGGGGTTTAGGGTTTAGGGCTTGGGGTTTAGGATTTAGGGTTTATAGGGTTTAGGCTGTGAGCCCCCAGTCGGGCCTGAAACCCACAAGCACATGAGCAGAAGGCCTCCGCGCCAAAGCAGGATGGTACCTCCAAGGCAATCCGACCAAAGCATCTACCAAGGAGCTGCGTGAAAGCCTAACCCTAAACCCTAAACCCTAAACCGTAAACCCTAAACCCTAAACCCTAAACCCTAAACTCTAAACCCTAAACCCTAAACCCTAAACCCTAAACCTTGTTTTCTGTGGAAGCCCACCTCGCAGGGGACGGCGGCACGGGCTGAGAAGCCAAGCCAGCTAGCCTGCAAGACTCTGACTCCAAGGAGGCGAGGCTTGGGGGCCTTTTAGAAGGGTTTAGGGTTTAGGGTGTAGGGTTTAGGGTTTAGGGTTTAGGGTTTAGGGTTTAGGGTTTAGGGTTCAGGGTTTAGGGTTTAGGGTTTAGGGTTTAGGGTTTAGGGTTTAACCCGAACGACAGCCACAAAGCAGGAACAAAGTGGCTCACACTCAGCATCACTGATGCACACAAGATCATCCCACTGACTGCCCAGCCGCCTGGGTTGCTGAGCAAAGTAGGCTCGCTGCGCGTCGCCTCTCAACAACCCCTTCTAAGCAATATGATAACCCCATATCTCAGATGGGCTATTAGGACTTCAAATCCCCATAATGAACCCGAAAAAGGGCCTGAAAAGGGAATCTAGAGGGATAATCCCCCTAATGAACCCTCTAAAGAGCCTTTTAAGGGATTGTAGGGGATAATCGCCAAATCCCCTATAAAGGGCCTTTTAAGGGATTATAGGGGGATAACAGACCATCCCCTATTAAAGGGCCTTTTAAGGGATTCGAGGTGATAGTAGCCCATCCTGGTACCAGGAGCAGACCCCACGTCTGGTAGGGAGGGAAGGCCTGCAGCTGCCATGGCGCCAGCCTGTGGACGTGGCAGCCACTTCAGAAACTTCTATACATATATATGCATTATATATATATATGTAGAATATATATATATATATATTTCATTTTTTTGTTTATTTGTTTATTTTTCTTTATGTATTTATTCATTTTTTCGCGGTTGGGATGCCGAGTATCCTGCGCCCCTATATTCCCGGTTCCCGGACCGGAAAAAAATCAAAACAGCCCCCCTATACCCTCGTGAGGGAGCTTGTGCGGCTGTTTTAGAGGCTTCAACCGGGGCGAAGAAACGTGACACCAGGGTTTAGGGTTTAGGTTTAGGCTTGAGGGTTTAGGGTTTACGGTTTTTGATAAGCTACATGAA